TCTGCGCAGGCCCTGCACCTACCTGGCATCCAAAACGGGCCGTGTGGAGACTCCTGGGAGGGGAAGGGCGGGGTCAGCCAGTCCTTGCAACTACTGGTTCGGCGAACCAGATTAAAATTAACATCTGGTTCACCTGAACCGGGCCGAACCGGCTGAATCCCACCTGAATGGCAGCAGAACAGAGATAGAAAGTAGGACACCAGGCCAACCCTCCTATCTTCTGCACCAAGAGGGAAACAGTTCAGTGGATTAAATGGAGATGATGTATCCACCAACAAGGACCTGGCTAACCAACTTCACAGGGCTGCTTTTGCCAAGATAAAATGAAGGAAGACCCCCCTGTATACACTGCCACTTTGAAGCTCTTCATAATATCGCCTAGCTATTGTTCAAGTATTAAAAGGCTGTCGTTCTTATTGTTCTTTTGGCTCCAAAATGGCTGGAAGATGCTATTATGTCAGTTTTGGGAAAGTGGCCAAGAGAAAATGGGATAGAAATATAAAAATAAAAATATAGATCTCTTGGATGGAGAGCTAACAACTAGGCTAAAGGCTAATCCATATAGAGCAGTGATGGCTAACCTTTTTCTCGTTGTGTGCTGAGGCACACAGGCATGCTGGAACCCATAATGCAATGCGCTCCCTGCGCATGTGCACCAGAGATGGGTTCTACTTACCTTTACCAGTTTGCAATGGGACCATGTGCGCATGCCTGCTTTGCTCGCGCACACTCTTCTGCGCATGCGCAGAAGCGTTTTCATGATGTCTATAGAACCGGTGCAAACCGGGGGCAACTCACCACTGATGCGCACACAATCCCCCTTGCTCCCCCACACATACTCGCGTGACCCCCCTGCTCCCCCACGCATGCACAATTCCCCGCCTCCCATTTTGGTCCTGGAAAGCCTCCCTGCAGCCTCCTGGGCCCAAAACAGGCCATGGGGGGTGCACTGCACATCCCCCCGCAGGCGCATATGACCCTTCCTGCGCATCTCCGGCCTGTGCCGGAGTCCCAAAGGTCCGCTGGCTGGCGGGAGGCACACACACGCATGCGGAGTGGAGCTGAGCTGGGCGACGGCTCGCGTGCCCACAGAGAGAGCTCTGTGTGCCAGCTGTGGCACGCATGCCATAGGTTCGCCATCACGGATATAGAGTGCCATTACCATCTATTTTGTTTGCTAATGTGCTCCTTGAAGCCTAAAATGGATTACTTGAAGCTAGGGTTAATAACAAACTGGAGGTGAGAAACTGCTGTGCCATCATTGCAACAGAAACTTGGTTTAAAGCATTCTACCCCGGATAGTGCTGTTGGCTTGGGTGGACTTTCAACATTTTGGCTTGTTTTCTTTTGAGAGCGGGCATCAGAATGTCATTTTTTTAAAGTGTGCCAGTGTGTTCACAGAAAAAAATGACAATAAGGTTTATCTTATATTAATCTTGAACTTCTATTAATCTTGAACATCTTATTAATTTGTTTGTTCATTATGCCAGTCATCTCACTGATGGAGCGACTCTGGGCAGTTTGCACTATGATGAAAAGTAATATATCATTACTTTTCAACTGTCAGTTGAAGACAGTTGAAATTAAGAGAAATTAAATAAAGATTAAAAACCAAGACAATGGGAAGTCTGAAGGTGGAGAGCTTCTTTACCCGAGTCAACCAGCCCCAACATAGAAGGCCCCTATTGGGGCCCAAGGCCAAGCGGTAAAAGTTTCAGATTCTTCCAGAAGGCCAGGCATAGGGTGACAGATCTCACAGGAGAATATTCCAGAAGAGTGATTCCAATATTCAATGTAACAATTGAAAAAATTATAGAACAAATCCATTGATTTAATACACGTAGTCCTCAATTTACAGCCACAATGGAGCCCAAAATTTATGTTGCTAAAACAGAAATTTGTTAAGTGAGTTTTGTCCCATTTTATGACCTTTCTTGCCACATTTCTTAAGTGAATCACTTCAATTGTTAAGTTAGAGATACGGTTGTTTAGTTAATCTTGTTTCCCCGTTGACTTTGCTTGTCAGAAAGTTGCAAAAACGGATTGCGTGGCTCCAGGACACTGCATCCGTCATAAATGTGAATCAGTTACCAAGCATCTGAATTTTGATCAATGTGACCATGGGAATCACACAATGGTCGTAAGTGTGAAAAATGATCGTAAGTCACTTTTTCAGTGCTGTTGTAACTTTGAATGGTCACTAGATGAAGTTGTAAATTGAGGATTACCTGCATAACAAAATTGAGAGGCAAAAAACCATCTCCGGAAGAAAAAAAAATACAGGTAGTCCTCGACTTACGACCACAATTGAGCCCAAAATTTCTGTTGCTGAGTGAGACAATCGTTCAGTGAGTTTTGCTCCTTTTTAACGACTGTTAAATGAATCACTGCAGTTGTTCAGTTAGTAATACTGAACAACTTTTTCAGTTTTTAAGTGAATCTAGCTTTCCCTTTGACTTTGCTTGTCAGAAGGTTGCATGACCCTCATGCCAGTTACCAAGTGTCCGAATTTTGATCATGTGACCACGGAGATGCTGCAACAGTCGTGTGAAAAATGGTCATAAGTCACTTTTTTCAAGTGCCACTGAAAATTTCCATCACTAAACGAATGGTTGTAAGTAGAGGACTACCTGTATATATTTACAGAATGCTATAGAGTAGGCAATGGTCGATATTTACTTTTTTCTCCTCAGGCAGCTTTCTTTATAGCTAAGAATAAAACTGCTAGTTATGTCATTATCTGTTTCTTGCATCCATTTGGATACAGATGGCAATTACAGCTTGTTATGTCTAGGAAGGGCTTTTAACTGCATATTATGCCACCAAGATCATTTTCACTGGAAAAATAAGATGTAATATTGCTGGCTGATATAAGTAAAGTTGTTCAGCCAGTCTGTTCAATTTTGTTACCTATCTTGGGTTTGTAAGCTGTAAGTAAATCTATAGCTAATTTAACAAATATTTGCACTTTGCTTTGGAAGGTAGATAGTTTAACTATTTGAAATATGCAGACATACACGAATTTTCTCTCTGGTGTCAGGGATATCGCACTTCAGATTGTTGTTAAAGACAATAGTTGGGGGTTGTTGTTTTTTAAATCACACGATGTAACAGTATTTTCACAATTTTAAGATGTGTGATACTTCAACTCCCAGAATCCTCCAGCCAGCACAACAATCTGAAATATGAAGTTTCTGACCCCAGAAATAAAAAACGATCCCATGGAAAGTTGAATGAAGGGCTTCTCCTTCATTCCACAAATGCAGGAAACTGAGTTTAGAGCAAGAGCCAAGTAAGTTGCATGGCTGCAGCCAATAAAGGCTTCAACTCCCCAGATTTCTTCAACCCTCCATCCACCATTGTGAGCACTGCAGGTCTGAAGTCCTGGAGGGTGCTAGGTTGGGGAAAGGAGGTAGTCCCAAAGGTGCTTTTTCAGGAGGCAACTGGACTTTGTTTTTTTCTTTTGAAGACATTTCCCTTCTCATCTAAGAAGCTTCTTCAGCTTTGACAGGCAGGAAGGATTTATACTCCTTGCAGACAGCTGGTCATTTGTATCCTTTTAGAGGGTCCTTGAATCACTTGGAGGTTTATCTGTGTCCTCAGGGTCACCTGAGTGGTGCTCCTGGTTTCTGTAGTGTGCAATTTTTCCTCTGGAAATCAGTGGTGGGTTGCCCCAGGTTTGGACCGGTTCGCAAGAATCGATAGTAAAACCGGCAGGAGGCCCCGCTCCCCGCCCCGAATGTCATCATCGGCGATCTGCGCATGCGCAGAAGCATAGCACGCACACATGTGATCCCGTTGTGAACCAGTAGTAAAGGTAAATAGAACCCACCCCTACTGGAAATCCATTCCTACTCCCACACCATTCCAAGGGTGTTCATCCCAAATTGTATAGCTAAAAGTCTGTAGAGATTCTCAGTCATCCAAGTCATGGTTGTCCCAAAGGTGCTTTTTCAGGAGACAACTGGACTTTCTTGTTTTTTTTCTTTCGAAGACGCTTCATTTCTCCTCCAAGAAGCTTCTTCAGCTCTGACAGGATAGTGGGGAATAGAAAGATTTATATTCCTGGCAGACATTTGTATCATTTTAGAGGGTTGTTGAAGCACTTGGGAGGTTTATCTGTATCCTCAGGGTCACCTGAGTAAGTACACCTGGTTCCTGTAGTCTGCAATTTTTCCGCTGGAAATCCATTCCCATTCCCACACCATTCAAAGAGTGTTCATCCCAAATTGCCTAGCTAAAAGGATGCCCTCTAAAAGGTTGCAAATGACCAGCTGTCTGCAAGGAGTCTAAATCCTTCCATTCCCCACTGTCCTGTCAAAGCTGATGAAGCTTCTTGGATGAGAAGCGAAACCTCTTCAAAAGAAAAAAAAACCCAAGAAAGTCCAGTTGCCTCTTGAAGAAAAAGCACCTTTGGGACAAATGATTAAGAATCTCTACAGACTTAAAGGAGGAGGTGGTAAGTATTTCCTTTAGCAGATACCCCACCCCGCTCTTCAATTACTTCAATCGCCAGCGGTTAAGAAAAGCGCGGGAACCGAGCAATCCTTCCACCCCCCACCCCCGCCTCAGAAGGGCCGCCTAAAGTGGTACGTTCCATCACCACCCCCGAAAGATTCTCCCACTTCCGCTCCCCTACCCGCTTCGCGAAGGAGGAAAAGAAAAAAAAAAAAAGAAACCCAACCCGAAGCGATACAGCCTCCTTCCGCTCCTCAAAAAGACTCTCCCGCCTCCCCGCTCTGCCACGTGCCACTCCTTCTCCCCCCCACCCCCACCCTTTTTTCTCACATCTCGCCCCACCCCTCGCTGGCTCCTCCCACCCATTCCCCGGGACGCTCTCCATTGGCGGGTTCCAGCTCTCCCTCTTCTTCCCCGCCCTTCCGTCACTTCCTGACGCTCACGAGCCCGCGGGAGGAGGGGGGCGGGTGGGGGGGGAAAGGGGGCCGGCCCTCGGTGACAGGGCGGGCGAGGCGAGAGGCGCGCGCGAAGGCGGCGGCGGCGGGCGGGCGGGTTTGCATGATGGCGGGCGTCTGTCAGCCGCTCCGAGGTTTCTTGTGGCGGCGGCCGCTGCAGTCGCCGCTAGCGGACGGACTTCCGCGTCGCCGCTGAAAGGGAAGAAGGCGCTCGGCCTCCGCGCCGATGGGGAGCGGCGGTTGCGAAAGAGGGCGGCGGCCTCCTCCTTCTCCTCCTCAGCAAGAGCAGCAGCGCCGGTTTTTCTGACGGGGCGCCTTTCTTTCTCGGGTCCGGGAGGGAAAAGAAGCTCGCCCGCCGCCGCCGCCTCAGGCTGGGAGCCGGCCGGCCGACCTGCCCGCCGGACGAGGGGATGTTGCGCTGGATCCGGCAGCAGCTGGTAGGTGGAGACGGCCTTCCAGGAGCCGAGAAGGGGCCGCTGGTGGAGGGGAGGGCGGGTTAAAAAAAAAAAAAGGTCCCTTCGCTCTTCTTCTTCAACTTTCTCCCCACCAACCACCCACCCACCCCGGTCTTCGGCTCTCCTGAGGGGGTTTCTGACGGGGCAGTTTCGGACTCCTGCGCTTTCCTTCTCGGCAGCTGCTCTTCGGCCCCGCAAGTGTCAAAAAACACGTCCCGAAGACGAGTTTGAGAGGCCCGTAGCGGACTTCGCTTCTCTCTTTTTTTTTTTAAAAAAAATAGTTAATTCAATTTATTTCGTTCCCGATCCACGTGGCCCCGGTCTATAAGCAAAGAAGAGCTGCCTTTGCTTCCCCCCCCCCCAAAAAAAGTCCCTCGTGGCAGGAGGATTTGGTACTCTTGGCCAGGATATTTGCAATCTCCTCTTAATAATAATAATAATAATAATAATAATAATAATAATAATAATAATAGTCATCGTCATCGTCATCGTCATTGTCATCCTCCAGCATGGTTATCTCATTTGCTGTGTATTGTCATTTTGTGTAAATAATAATTAATAATAATAATAATAATATCTTTATATTGTCAGTGCACAACATATGTGCAATGAGATGGGTTGAGCTCCTTCAGTGCACCGCTACCCACCCACCCCCAACACAATGCAACTTCACAGTGAAGACAGAAAATCCCTAACCCCAATAAATCATATTAACAAAACACCCAGTCTTTCTGTGGTAGCTGTCCTGTATAAGGTAGTCCTCGAATTACAAGCATCCGTTTAGTGACCATTTGAAGTTACAACGGCACTGGGGGAGGGAGTGACTTTATGACCGTTTTTTCCAGCCCTGATGATCATGGCAACATGGCCAGGAGGTCACATGAGAGCAACGTTCAGATTCGTATTTATGACGGTTGCAAGCAGTGTCCCGGGGTTGTGTGTGTGATCCCCTCCTGATCAGCAAAGGGTCAATGGGGAAATCCAGAGTCACTTAACAACTGTGTAACTAATTAACAATTGCTGTGATTCACTTGACAGCTGTGGTAAGAAAGGTTGTAAAATGAGGCAAAACTCACTTAAAACTCTCTCAGCAACAGAAATGTTGGGCTCAATTGTGGTCGTAAATCGAGGACTCTGTAATCTTCAAACTTTTTTTGTGTGTGTGTGTACTGTTTAGAGGTGGCAGGTGAGTGAAAGAGGTTTGTGCTGATAATTACCAGAAAGTTAAATTGGGAGCAGCTGGGTTTCTGGGAGGAGAAGGAAGTTGCCAAGCTGTGGCCAGCTGAGACCTTTGCTTGTTCAAGGTGTTTTTCCAAAGTGCAGTAGATTTGCAGTGCCATAGTCTCAGAATGGGTGCTCTTCATTTTTCTACTCCTTTCATTGAGGTCAGCGCTACATCTATGATTTCTGGGCTTTGTTGTGGTTTCTTTCCCCCCACCCTCCCCACAAAAATGTTAGAATTAAAATTAGGATCTGTTCTAGCCTTCTGCCTGTGATAATTAATGCTGGTGGTTTACTTTAAAATCCTGAATGGTGTCTTTTCAAGGCATAGCAGAGTTACATTTGTTAAGAAGCAGCACATCGTTTTTGGAATAAAAGTGGGCGGATATGCTGGGAAAAATATAATCATTTCCTCTTGGCTGTATCTTTCTAAAGAGGCAGAACGTTATTTGCTTTATCTTTGGCTGTAACTCCCAGCTCCATCTCACTTCCTAACGCTTAGAAAACATTTAGACAAATAAGATGTGATTCAAAATTCAACCACATCCTTCCTGCATTTTAGAACAAATGTTAAAACAATTTGGGGCAAGTTTTTTTCAGATACTTGCACATCCAGGTAACAGTATTATAACACAAAGTGAATGAGAGCATAAATATGGACCTCCCTTAAGTAAAAGTAAATATTCTTTGATGTTAATTGTCTTCTCCCCCCAAGACCATCTTGTGTCTGTGAAAATTAAAATTATTTGCCAGCTAATGGTGAAAAATATTAAAATCCCCTCAAGCATTCATAAGCGGCAGTGATAGCAAATACATCAATTTAAATTGTTAATATAGTAAATATCAAATATAACCAATATAAACCAAAGCTCATGGGGAGGGGGCGGACATCCTCTGTATTTTTTTAAAAGTGGGAAGAGGTCCTGAGAGAAAAAAGTTTAAGAAATGCTCTTTTACTTTTTTTTAAGTCTGCATTACTATTAATCTTCTCATCATTCCTATCACCCATCTTCTCCCACTTATGACTGCATGACTGTAACCTTGTTGCTGATATCCTTAAGATTTATATTGACTGTTTCCCTATGACTATCATTAAGTGATTCTTAATGATTCTTAAGAATCATTCTTAATGGTTCTTAAGATTCATAAGTGATTCTTATGATTCTTGACGAATGTATCCTTTCTTTTATGTACTCCGAGAGGGTATGCACCAAGACAAATTCCTTGTGTGTCCAATCACACTTGGCCAATAAAGAATTCTGTTTTATTCTGTTTTAGATCATCCATAAAATGAGCAATACAATTTAATAATGCATCAGAAAGGTATAAACTACTACAACAAAATGAAGAAAAATGCTTCAAATAACTTGAGATCTGTCTAACCAATTTTAATAGCTTGTTCATTGTCACTTGATTACATTTACAACAGTATAGTATGTGGTTTGGCTTTCATAGCAGGATTAAACTTCCTTATATAACCTGCTCAGAGTCATTATAGATAAATGAAAAATATAATATACCTCTAAATGGCATTTAGTGATTCAACATCTCCTGGAATATCATTAGCAATAATTCAAGAGTCCTTTTCACAAATTGGCTCTAGAGTATTTTGTTTGAAATGTCGCTAGCATTAATTTTTCTTGACAGCATATATTGCTTTGATATTGAGACAAACTGGTTTTGGTATAATACGGTTTATCATACCTAGGGGGCAAAGGCTTTCTTTCCCCATGGGGCTTGGTAATTCACTTCATACATTGTAGGAGACAGCCTTAGATTAAATTGTTTCCACTGTTTGATTAGAGTTGAGTAATGGTTGTGATTATTTGTATTTCGTCTTCCATATTTGCTAATTACATTTGCTGATAGGATTTAACACTCGATAGCTCCCTAATACGATAATCCAAAAGTTCCCCAGAAGGGTCAGACAAAAATGACAAAATAGGAACTGTGCTGGCTGTACAGCTTCTTCAGTCTGATGCTCTGCAGATTGGTACAGACCCTGAATTTGCAGTTAGCTGAGTGGTCTGAACATTTGTAGTCCCATCATTTTTAAAGAGGCTGAGGAAGGCTGCTTAGTCTAATCTTAGATGTTTGCTATATCGCTGCATTATTTACTGGGTTTTTGTTTTGTTTTTCTCATTAGTTGTGATCAGAACGATGATTCATGAGATGTAATTTTTATAAACTGCACTTTTCTCTTTTTATAATGTATTCTAGGAAAGAAAATACTCTATTTTTATTACCCCCCCAAAAAAATAGACATATGCATTCTTCCTGTATTTATATGCTGTTAGATATATTTAGCACTCTTTGTAGAAAGACTGTTTATGTCTCATTAATGAGAAACTTTGTTCTAGAAGGGGCTATTAACCTACATAATTAACTTTTTTTTAAGAAAAATGTTATATTACATTAGCCTAAGTATTAATTGTATGTGCTCATTTATTAGTCATCTATACAAAATTTTCAGTGTGTATGAAGGTAATGGGCTTATGGTAAGGATTCATTGTGAACTAGACATCTCTGAGGAAGCAGAGATGGCATTGCAATGAGATCAGCTAGACAGCATTTTCTGGACAGCAGAACCTCTCCAGATAAAGGAGAGATCGTGAGATCATCCATTTGTACTCCAGATAGCTGCTCCTTATGAGTCAACTGTAGGAACTGAGGTTTCTGCAGTTGGCTCATGAAAGAAAACGTTGAGAGTCTAGGGGCTCCACAAGCACAATGTAGCCTTATGGACATAAAGTTCTGCCAAACCTAATTCTTAAATCACTTTTGGAAATTGCTTTTTAGCTGCTTTTCTACTATTAATCTTTCAATTGACAAGTCTGATAACATGCATTGGGTGACTTCTCTTTAATCCTTAGCAAAAAAAATATTCTAAAAAAGTATAACAACATTAGAAAATGTTTTTGGAATAAGCTTGCAAAAGGGATTGGAATGTTGATTTTTGAAAGTTTTAAATAGATTAGGGTCCACATTAATTTGAAATAAAGATTTTGAAATTAATTGTGGGAATCCTTTCCTTTGGGAAAATGCCATTTTACATTCTTTAAAGAAAACATGATAAAATGAGAATTTGGACATTGGACACTAGAGGGAGTTAGAGGCAACTAAAGACTATAATTAAATTTGACTTATTTACACAGAATGGAGCAAAATAATACTGAACATATGTGAGATGATTTGCAAGCAATAGTTCCAGAAGTTAATCTTAGAAGTATCTGCAATTGTAGATAGATAGCTTTTAAGAGATGTTGTGGAAGAGGAACAAGTTTTGCCGGACAGGGCTGGGACTGATCTGAAAGTGGATTTGAACATGCCAGGCTGTAAGACTAACATGGAAAAAGATGTTACCCTGGATACACAAATGAAACCAGCTGATGTCTTAATACCTGAAAGGAATGTACAAATTGCAAACCATAAGACTCTTTATAGTAGATCTACAAAAGAGATCTGTTAAAGGTCTGAAGGGTTTAGTGAGAGGGAACAAAGAAAAAAAATGAAAACAAGCTCCAAGATTTTATTTGAAGGGATTAAGGATCAAAACTGTAAAAAGTAAAAGGAAGGAATATAAAGTGGATTTATTTGATCAAGATTAAAGCAGTTATATTGTTATTTCTGCCTTCCTTAGTGGACTTTTGCTGATTAGGACAGAATGATGAGGTTATAAGAATCGGTTTATAGATAAAAACGAGATATAGGATGAAAAGATTTTTGGTTGTGTTTTAAGATAAGATCATAAGTTTTAAAAA